AGGAGGAGGAGGAGGAGGAGGCGGCGGCGACGGCGGCGACGGCGATGGGGGGAGGGGGAGCGGAGGGCAAAGCGTCTGGTGGTACGCGGAGGGGTTTCGCGGGGACCCTCGTAACACGGGGGGTAGGGGTTGCCGCCCCTCTCGCGACCTCAGCCCCGCCAACGTGATCGCGAGGAGCGGGGGCCGGGTTACCCCCTCTTTTCGTGCCGCGAGGTTCCTATGAATTTTGCGACACTCAATAAAAAGTGGTTCCACGAGGTTAACATTTCGGTAACTATACCCTCGCCTACCCGGGGCGCGCACGCACGTATCGCACAACGACAACGACGAGCCGAATCGGACGGACGCGCGTATACACATTTACGTGCATCACGTACGCATACGGGCGCATATACTACTCGCTCGCCCGCTGGCGATCGCACTCTCTCCCTCTCGCGCTCCTTCTCTTTTTCGCGTACAGAGCCGCTCTTCGGCGTACATCACGCGGGGCTACGCACGCACACGCGAGGATTCGCACACGCGCGTGCACAGGCGGGCGGCACACGCTCGTGTTAAAAACGAGGGAAGCGAGAGAGGGACAGGAAGAACGGCGCGGAGGGAAGGAGAAAGAAAAAGGGAGAGATAGAGAGAGAAAGAGAGGGGGGAGGGGAGAAAGAGCGAAAGAGAGAGAGAAAGAAAGAGCGACACACGCGAGCACGGGCGCGCGCTCGCGGGCTCTCGGCACGCATACATGCACGTCGCGCGCGCACGCATACCACAGGACTGCCGAAAAAACTGCACGGGAGAGGCGCAGCAAACCGAACCGCGCGCGAATCAAGTGCTTTGGCCAGTCGCGTTCCCAATCACTCTACGACTAGGTAGTCCCCCGGTGTGTCCCAAAGAAGCGGTGAGGAGCAGCTGGGTCCTTCGGTCCTCGACGTGGTCTCTCGGCGCGCAAGATAATACACGCAGGACATTCTAAACGCTCGGACATCGTCAACGCTCTTTCGCACTTTCGTGAGCCTCGATCCTGCGGCGCGTGTTATATTTTGTTTTCTCGATCGATTTCTTTCTTTTTTCTTTTTCCGTTTTCTTCGTTCGCCAACGACCGACGACCGACGATCAACGGCCGACGATCGACGATCGACATAGACAAATTGTACGTTCCCGTGGATTTAGTAATTCGGTGTCTGGCATCGTCGTCGTCGTCGTCGTCGTCGTCATCATCATCATCATCATCATCATCATCATCGTCATCATCATCATCGTCATCAACATCATCATCATCATCGTTGTCGTCGTCGTCGTCGTCGTCGTCGTCGTCGTCGTCGTCTTCGTCGTCGTCGTCGTCGTCGTCGTCGTCGGAAGAAAGGAGAGTGCGTCTTCTGTTTGTTGTATAGCTGAAAGACGACGCTACCGAAGGACAAGGCGGAAAAGCAGTGCGCGTCCATGCGTGTATCGACGGGATCGCGAGTACGCGTTACGGTGATCCAGTTACGCGCGTTCTACGCGAGGGGAAGAGGGAAAGGGAGAAACCTTGAAGAGAAGCGATCCTTCGTCACGGTGTGAGTGGTGTTACGGTATACGCGCGATTAAATCTGGTCCAACGTCACCGTTTTCATCGCAGTTTTCTCGCAATTTTGGAAAACTCTGCGAGGTTGACGAATTTTCGGAGAGTCCCGCCAAAGAGTATTGTTGCACAGAGTGGAAGGGGAGCGGAGAGGAGAGTGCGCCACGTAGATTTCGAGACGCGCGTGCTAAAGAAGTTTGAAAAAGGCGGAGCGCGTTCAAGATTCGTGCAAGATTCTTTGGTTCGACACGTCTTCCGTGTGACTTTGATATCGACGATGAGCCAGAGTGATCTTTGTGAAAGAACGTGAGAACTTGAGTCAAACTCGATTGTTAATGCTCGCCAGTCGGACACGCGACCGTTAACGTTCCATTCATTCATCAAGGACCCTATATGCGATTCGTTCAGTTTCCGTCAACGGAAGAGATTGTAGAGCATACGGTTCGACTCGAAGACGGAAAAACGGGAAAGGAACGTAAGAGTGAAGAGAACAAGAGACTGGCGCATCTCTCGCGGTATTTGGGCGTTGGAAGAATCGCTAGAGGTCAAACAGGAAAAGTTCGTTCTCGACGTGTCATCCTCGTCGTCGTCGTCGTCGTCGTCGTGTTGTCGTCGTCGCCGTCGTCGTCGTCTTCGCCGTCATCGTCATCGTCGTCGTTGTCATCATATCGAGGCATTAGTACCACGGGACTCGGCATCGACAACAAGGACGCCGGGCAAAGGAGGTCCACACTTCACTTCGCGCTTGACGATCAAGGTACGTCCACAGCTGAGACCGGTGGCCTTCGGCCGCCTGTGCGGCTTCCACGGTGTACGCGGTCGCTAGAGACAGAGGAGGAAGTTTTGGGAAGACAGAGATGAAGGGAATGGAATAGAGAGAGAGAAAGAGAGAGAGATGGAGGGAGTGACAGAAACGTGGAGAAGGAGGGGGGACGGATGAGAGAGAAAGAGTAAAAAGTTTCGGGAGGGGGCACTTTTGAAGGGGACGAACGGGGGAAAAATAAAAGAAAAAGATGGATGGAGAGAACGTGCAAGGGTGAGTGTGTGTATGTGTGTATGAGAAAGAGAGAGAAAGAGAGGTAGAGGGAAAGAGAGCACGATAGAGGGGCAGAAGACGAAGGGAAAGAGTGCGAAATAGAGAGAGAGAGAGAGAGAGAGAGAGAGGGGGGGGGGGGGGG